GCAGACCTGCCAGGAGGGAGTGATCAAAAAGCTAGCAAGTGAGTCTGTCAGATGCAGGCCCTACTTCTCTTACTAGAGGACCCACATAAAGCCTAAGCTGCCATGTGCTATATCTTTGTAGGGGGATAGGGTGAGAGGGAGGGAGGAAGGGTGGAACTGGGAGGGGAGGAGAGATGGGGCTACAACCAGGATATAAAGTGAATAAAAAAAAATAAATTAATTAAAAAAAGAAAAGAAAACTTTAGGATGGGAGTAGACACTAATGGAGAGACATGAAGTGGTACTACTGGGTAGTTACTCTGCCTAATTATCTTTGTAATGCCTGAGTAATTTATTTAGTCCTGAGCACAGAAAACTAATGTTGGGTGGAAGCAATAAATCTTGTTCCCTGCTTGCAAGAGCTTTGATGTTTGAAAGCACTGTGGTGCAGGGGTGGTGGTACATGTCTTTAATCCCAGCTCTTGGGAGGCAGAGGCAGATTTCTGTGAGTTCAAGGCTAACCTGGTCTACATAGCAAGCTCCAGTCAAACCAAAGCTACAACATGAGACCCTGACTCAAAATAAATAAATATAATAAAAAAAGAAAAAGAAAATTCCACTTGTAAGGAATCTTTAATCTACTGGATTTTTATAGCAAATGTTTGTGTTTTTCCTACTGTGCAGTACCCTGTGTACCTGCCAAGCTAGATAAATAACAGGCTCTGATGATTTTGATGATTTTGCACCTGGTGTCATAGAAACAGTGGGAATCAAAGATTAAAGTGGTGCATGTAGTGATCAGGTTTCCTGAGGCAAATTGAAACATTGCTGTGACAGTATTTTGGAAAAATCTAGGCTCAAACCTGTTTTCTGAAAGTGGAGGAAGCATTGATTGAACACTTACTATGTGCCAACCTCCACACTTAACATTTAGTGTTCTGTATTAATTGATTTAAAAAATATTCCTGGAAAATACATGTCCTGACCCTACAGACACGGGCTTTGAGGCTTAGAAAGGTTTCAGAAGGTTGCACATACAGTGACAGGAACAGGAGTCTATCTTAGCATGCATTGATACCTATGCATGTATTTGCCCTACCTCCCCCCCCACCCCCAGATAACTTTAAATCATAGCTTTAGAGGAATATTTGACGTATTTCAACTTTGGCAGTAAAATCTTCACTGCTAGATGAACTTGTATGCAGAGAAGGAATATGCAAATAACTTTTTCTTTAGAAGTAATGTTCACAGAGCTAAGTGAAATTCTCAGCTCTTCCAAGGTGCATTAAATTAGGTCATCTTTCTCAACTTTGAGCTGAAAAATAAGGTCTATGTGGCATGAAAAATTAAACCTACTAGAATTTTCCAGAACCCAGGCTGTGAATTTGGAATTTAAGATTCATATAATTGTTGATGAGACTTTCTCACATATGATCCATATAATAATGTCCACGATAGCTAGACAGATGATGACATCAGAGGACACAATTTCAATGTTCTTCTATAGTTGTGCTGTAACTTTTATGTGACAGACCGCCTGTTTATCCAGCTTCTTAGATCATAGTCTTCCAAGTGTTCAGAACATAGTAGAGACGCTGAAGTTATGCACAAATTCCCTGCTTTAGATGTAAAAGTTATGTTTATGTAGGATTGTACATGCTCTGACCCCGTGTGTATCAGAATGAGTGATTAAATTTCTCCTGAGGATTATTTTTAGATGTTTTAATGGTATTTTAGGAGAATTTTATATCTCCAAGGCATATTAAAATGACTAAGACTTCAAAAATACTAATTGCTTCTGTCTACAGGAAAGAAAACTTTGAGTGGTAATTTTAGTAACATTGACTTGTATGCAGTGTCTGTATAAAATCCTAACTATGAGACTCAATGCTTAATTTCTGACATCTGGCTTTTTGGAAGGACATGGTGAATGCATTACTTTGGACAGGTTTGACCAGTTTGTCTGGGATTGCTGTTTGTTTCTGGCAACTCTTAGAATTCAGTGGTGACAAAATTGAAGTAGTAGATGTAGCATAGACCTTGAAACTTCCTAGCAGATGAACTCGACACTTTCTAGATTTTATATCAGTCAGTTTTTTAATTTTGTGATCATTCTCATGAGAGTCTAAGATATACTAGAAAGAAAGAAATGAGATTTGAGGACAGTGGGTGGCTGCCGTCATGGCTGAACATTTGTTGAAGACGGGGAAGCAACTTTGTATGCTTGCTGAATCTTCCATCTGTTTTCACTGAGGAAGTATTGCAGAAGCCTCTCAAGTGTGTACACACTATATTTTCTCTAAAAGCCTCTCAAGTGTGCACACACTATATTTTCTTTAAAAAAAAAAACAAAACAAAAAAAACAAAACAGTGACTGTGATGGTTAATCTGAAAGCACCTAGGGAAATGATCACAGACTACCTACTGTTAAACAGGTCCTAGACCGGCCTGACTTACCTGGAACCACAGATGGGTTATAATTTTCTTTTAAGTCTTGTAAAGTGTTTTTGGTGGAAAAGGTATTGGCCATGAAGTAGACTTTACTCTTTCTTTTGACCACATGACATAAGCCAGAAATATAGTCAAATAATCTCCCCCCACTTCTAGAAATACTGCCAGATAGTTTGTCCAGAAAGTGCTGAGGACAGGAAGAAGTTAAATGGCTGCAGGGTTTTTGCAATTAGAAGAGTTACTGCATAATAAGGAGGAGCCAGAGTTGAGGTTTTATGACCAGAAAGATTTAAAAACTGCTTCCGTGGGAATGGCAGTGGCAGTGGACTTGAGCCTTCCCCAGTGAATGGTCTACCTCCCAGAGAGTAATAAAGTTAGTGAAATTAGCTAAATGACCTGCAGGGCTCTCTGCTTTACATCTTCTTCTAATAAAAACTCAATTTCAGTAGTTGTTTAATAGGAAAAAGGTTTGTTACAAATCAGTGTTGGGTAAAACTGACTGATGAAGAAGTGGTCGTTGTTCCAGAATACACTAGCTTTTGAGAAAGGGCATTTCTCAGTGTGAAAGAATAGTAGATATTTATTTGGGTACTATGGCAGGCTGGGTCAGGGGTTTCCAACACAGGGACCTAAAGGAATAATTGCAGTTCATATGTAGGTAATTGACTCTAGACAAGGTAGTATCCTACAGATGTATGTGCTACCATTTTAAAAATTGTATGTGTCTAGTGCTATATGAACAAACAACTAAAATATTGCTGAAGTTACATCTGCTCCTTACCTGAAGTTGTTATTACGAGTGAGCACCTTGTTCCCAGATGCCCAGGAAAGGAACCAGAAGTATGGGAAGATACATGCAATATGACTGGAGAGCCTCTCCACGTAGACCCTGCATGAGGCTCCTTGGGAATCCAGAGGGCTTGGAGCAACACATGCAGTGAAACATTTGGTGCGAAGCTGTTCTTGATGATCCCTGTGGCCTCTTGTCAATGGCAATGCTGCTTCAGTGAGGCTTGTTGGGAATGGTTGAACATGCTTCGTTGACACATTAAATCTTCATAAGTTAAAGCTTTTGTTATTTATTAATGTATCATTACAGACATTATGAGCATTTAATATTTTCAATCCTGCTGTTTCTCACTTACTTTCCTCATTCTGCTAAGTGACATTTTTTTTGAATGTCTTATATGGTTTCCATGACATTCAATGTAGAATTTCTAGAGAAGTACATTTGAAAATGGTGGACATATGACTTTTCTAAAGTAATTTTTATTGAGTAGATGAGAACAAGATGCTAAAGCCTTCAAACAATTTTCTCTTTTAAAGGACTAATTGGTTCCCCTCTGTGACCTTGTTTTTCTTGCACCACTAGAGAGTGTGGCATTTTAAGCTAGGTCACATTTTTATAACACATTTCCATTACTAGCTCTGCTCACATGCACTGTGTTTTACTTTATGTTGGTTACCAAGAGACTAAAAGCCACTTAGAGAGTTGTCTCTTCTGAATCTCATCATCACTAGGATTTAGTTTTAAAACACATTTTTTTTTTCTCTTTTCCTTTCTGATAGTGCTGGGAACTGATTAAAATGTGATTTGATCTTTGATTGACGTAGGAGATTAAAAGCCTGTGTCACTGCTCTGTCTAGACTTAGGTTTTGTGTTGGGGGATTTATTTACTCTTTCTTCATTGCTAATTCATGAAATTTTTTACAGTGTTTTTGAAATTTCATTGGCATATTGTTATAGTAATTTAAAAAATGGCTATAGGGCTATATAATGTTTATTCTTAGTCCTGAGATTTTCACAGCTGTATTATTTAACCTGCTATCACAAATAATAAGACACTGAAACCGGTTAGATTTATAATTGCCTTATTTACCTTGGGCTGGGCAGATATTTCACTTACACTCAATATCCTTACCATCCATCTCCCAGCCCCTATCAAATGCCATCCTCCTTAACCATCCTCATTTAAACTACCTTCCATCCACAATCCCATGGTACTTGCTTGTATTCTTCATCTGGGCCTTTTTATGCTGTTATTGGAGTCCTTCCTCCCAGACCCACAGGGTTTTGTCTCCAGGCTAACTCATCGTCTTCCTTCTTCCTCTCTTCCTGTCTCTCCCTCTCTTCTTTTCTCTTTGTTTCCTGTGATTTTCCTCAAAAGCCTGAGAATCCTAGCCACTCCTACCTCATTCTGCCTGCCCGAGTGTAGGCTGTTTAATCAATCAGTCAGGTATGTCTTGGGCAGGTTTACAAAAACAAGGATCAGTGTGTCCAGTGGGCAATAACTAGATCTTCAGGGCCAGTAATTAGCATTAGACCATATTTTAGAACATAATCAGCACATAAAAAGTTGTAAATATTTAAGAAATCCAATTTGATGAGGTTCCACATAGGTATGTAGCTATGAAACCATCTTCACAATGTGCATGGTGAACATGCCTACCCTTCCATATCTCCTTGTGCCTGTTTGACTACCTTCCCACCCTATGCCATCTCCCAGTACTCATGGTTGGATTAGGACAGCTCTCACAAGGTGTGACAATGCTGATACATGTCCTTTTAGTTCCAGTTCAGACATCATAAGAGATCTTCTGGAAGAAGAGGAAGCCTGGGAAGCATCTCACAAGTGAGTTCTCATGGACAACAAATGTGTATACTGGGTTCTGAGAAAGGAGAATTATACACAGCTATTTTTTTTCTAATTTCAGTTTATTTACTTTACATCCCAAGGGTGCCCCTTCCCTCCTCTCCTTCCAGTTCCTCCCCTTCCCCACTTCCCTGTTCCCCTATCCCTTTCCCCCCCAGAAAAGGGGAACTCCCCCCACCTATATCAACCCTCTCCAGCACATTCAGTTACATCAGGACTGAGTATGTATTCATCCCCTGAGGCCAGGCAAGGTAGCCCAAGGTAACTGATCCAAAAGCAGTCAATAGAGTCCATGTTAGAAACAGGACCCCCCCCCCCCACTCACCAGGCAACCCACATGAAGACCAAGCTGCTCACCGGCTACATGTGTGCAGGGGGCCTATGTCCAGATCATGCATGCTTCTTAGTTGATGTCTCAGTCTCTGAAAGCCCATATGGAAGTGGGTTAGTTGTTTCTCTTGGTCTTCATGTGGGGTTCCTGACCCCTCCAGGTCCTTCCATCTTTGCCTCGACACTTCCACAGGACCCCTGGAGCTCCACCCCATGCTTGACTTCAAGTCCCAACATCTGTCTAGATGCACTGCTGGCTGGAGCCTCCCAGACGACAGTCAAGTTAGACTCCTGTCTGCAAGCATAGCAGAGTATCATTAATAGTGTCAGGGGCTGGCCTTCTACCATGGCG